GCTCAGAAGAGTCTTTTTAACACTCATAATTGGTGAGTTTTCTTTAAAAACTGGCTTGAATAGCACTTTAAATATACTGAATATTGTTGAGTTTGCCTTCATGTTTGGATGCCTCATTTTTGAATGGCTAGCTAATTGTAATTAGTTAAGAATATAATTATCTAATAACTGTAATAGGCACTTAGGGTGAAGCTGGTTAGCAAAAGTAGATGCAAATTTATCTAAATTCATTAAAATAGTGTTCTTTATAATTTCAGTTATTATGACTAACTTCTTGTCAGATCTGATTAGTCATCGGAAATGTCAGCTCAGTTGATTATATTTGCCTGTTCTTGCATTATTAGCACTACCTCCATTGGTCTATGTTTTAACAGATAGTTTACTTAAATATCCTCCATAAAGCCCCTTAGATACAGAAACTGCAGCATGTGGCACTATGTTGAAAGTGAACAAAGGAGAAAGGCCTCTCCTCTCCCTGCTGTGTGCTGCTGTGCTCCCCACTTCTGCCCAGGACAGCCTAGGTGCCTGCTCCACTGTGGTCAAGTGGGAGTGCTGGTGCCAATCCTCACATTAAAAATCAGTAAAGCTTAATATCTTTCCTCTCTTTTGGTAAAGAATATGTTTGTTTGTAAGTAGAATTTCAAATACTTTATTTTGGAATTTCAGGGGTCATCTTATGTACTCCATTTTGGAGACTCTTGATATAGATGAGTAGTCTTAAAGTTTTGTTTGTTTTTTAATATTAGAAAGTCCTTCTTTTTATTGAAAATGAATGGAACTCTAATATTTAAAAAAATGGCAATAAGACTGCTTTGATTGACTATAAGATGGGAGGGGGTTGGTGCTCAGATTTCTCTAGGAACCTTTCTGTCCTATTGCCTCAGGTGGACAGTGCAAACCTAGTTTCTTTGAAACACAGTTGGAAAAATCTTACGCCAATCCTAGCTGTCAGACCTGCCCTTACCAACACTTGCTCCCTCTCTAGTCACTAAGGAACCAACATGTTTTTCAAAGGCTGGTATATTAATATTCATGATCTGGGGACAAGTAACAGCTGACTGAGTTACCTTACACACACATGTGGCCACATTTTATCTGGGGATAAGAACATCTATCAAAATGAATACGAAATGGTATTTTTGTATACACACACAAAAAAGGAAAACATTGTTTGAGCTGGAGGCCCTTCCGTGTATGTTCCACAGTAACCTTGAGATTGGAGGACATATGATAATTCAATTTGTTACAACCTGGTAAAAGTAAATTTTAAAAAAATGCTACTAGTGAGGAAAACTACAAATATATAGACCAAATAAAAACTGTTTTAATGAGAAATTATAAAATGTAGTTTAAGACAATTATGAAATGAATCTTTATGATATCAGGAAATGGACCATCTGTGATATTTTATTAACCAAGATATATAACATTAGCTGCTGGAATTGACCCCCAAATGTCTGGCTTAACTCAATCTATTTTCTCACTCATGTAACAGTACAATGCATGCTGTGAAAAGCCTCTGCTGTAATAATCATTCAGAGGCCTAGGCTGCTTCTACACTGCAGACCAACATATTCAAACACATGATTTCAAGGTTATCTGGCTTCATCCAGCTGGTAGACAGAAGTCTAAAAGAGAGTGGAGAAGGCAGCCTCTCTTATCTGTTCAGCCAGATCATATTCCACTAGTAAGAACTAATCATGTGGCCCTACCTACATGCAAAGTCTTTGGGAAATGTAGTTTAACTGTGGATCCTGGAAGAGAAAATGGATTTGGTGAGCATCTAGCCAGGCTTTGCTTATATACAAAGGCTGATTTAGGGATTTCCAATCTATATTTTGAGTATCACCAGGTCTGACTTTGGAAATCTCTTGGGAAGCCTCTACCACTCTCTTTTCTGCCTGCTATAATAAAGGAAATTGCAAGATGCACTAATTTCAGCTCTTGGTGCTCCCTGAATAAGCCATAATCTTCCATGTCTCTATACCTTTGCATGTAATTTGCATCATGTCTGTCCATTCTTTCCAACATTCCTTGTCTTCCAACCACCTACCTCTTCCCCCAACTCTAGCAAACTCCATCTCATCTTTTAAGACCTAAGACCATGTTTCCTTCCTCTGTGAACTTCTCTCTGGTGACAGATCTCTTTTAATGTTCACTGAACTTTATCCTAAGTAGACTTTGTACCTACTTCTATTACTGAATGCATATACCTGTGTTATAATTATTTAAGGAAACAGTATGTTTTCAAAGAATCAGGTGCATTAATATTTATCATATAATGACCATTAATAATAGACTCAGCTTCTCAAGGTTGAGGACTGAGTCTGATGTATCTTAGTATCTCCCATGCCTACCCAGCACAGGCTTGGCTCACATAACCAGTAACTGAGGAAAAAACTTAATGTCATCTCCCTTCCAGTCATTTCCCATCTTCTCTTTCTCTCATACTGTGGTAAAAAACATGTAATATAAAATTTACCATTCACCATTTTTAAGTGTACATTATAGTATTGTTAACTATACATACCTTGTTTGCAAGACATCTCTAGAACTTCTTCATTTTGCAAAACTGAAACACTGTATTTGTGAACAACCCATTTCTTCTCCCTCCAGTCCTCCCAGTAAAACCAATTTACTTTTCGTTTTTAAGAGCTTGACTGCCTTAGATACCTCATCTAAGAAGAATAATGTAGTATTTGCCTTTTGTGACTGGCTTACTTACTTAGCATAATACCCTCAAGATTCATTCATGTAACATATGACAGACTTCCTTTTTTATGGCTGAATAATATTTCATTGTATGTATATACCACATTTTCTTTATCCATTCATTCATTCTAGTGCCTTTGTTTTTGTCCTGTGTTTACTGAACGGTGTTGTTGGGCAGCTGCGTTTGGGGAGGTTTCTCCATGTGCACTTCCTGAAACTTCAACCTGGACCGGGGAGGGTTCTTGATTCTGGTGGAGAAACAATTCTCAAACAGGTCTGAACAGTGTAGGTAAGGAAAGAATTTGTTAAAGCAAGAGCAGAAGTGAATGTCAGCAGGCGTGCAGGCAGTAGAGAAAGGAAAAACAGAGGGAGAAAAGGGAAGTTCATTGAACTCCTGCTTGGCATAGGCCAAATACCTTGTCAACTCATAAAGCCAGGGTCCCCTGGTGTCCACTGTCTGCTTGCATCTGCATGGCGTGGGAACTAAGCCCCTACCACCCCAGGATTTGGGGGAGCCATGGAGCACTGGATGGAGTGAGTTTGTGTACTAAGAACTTCCACTTCCCTACTGGTTTGAAATAAAACAGGAAGAGAGAAAAGAATTGTGTTAAGACTAGAAAGCTGCATGAAATAGCAAAGTGACAAAGACATTTACCACCAGAGGTGGAGGTTAGAGAGTTCTTGCCTTTATCATGGAAAAGAATTCCAAGACAAGTGCATTAGGCTTATGCAATAAAAAAGTTTATTTGATACAAGACAGTACACACTCAGACGGTAGTGTGGGTAACCTCAGAAAGGAGGCACATTAAGAGTTTAGGGTTTGGAGTTGTATTGGGTCTTTTGGATAGGGGTTAGCATAAGGCATGATGTATACAGATGATTCATAATTCCTTTGAAGTTTTGTCTTAAGAATAGGATTATTTAGGTGACTGTGTTGATTTGGATCACTGCATTCTTTATCCACAGAGCTTTATTTACACTTTGGAGGTCTATCACTTGTCCTAGTTACAAAGTTACTTAGTTGGTTGAAGGACTGGAAGAAGAGGAAGAATGGCATGTAGATTAGGTTAAAGTATAAATTGGGCCTTTTTTGCAGGGTAAGTAGATTTTATAATGGTATGAACCTTGTCTCATTTACCTGTTCTATCTCAAGGGTATTGACAATATATTTTCTATTCACCCAAGAGAAAGATGAGCAGGTACTCTTAAATATTTCAGGATGGTTTAGGTTGTAGAGACTAAAAGAGAAGTTATTCTGAGTGCAAAGGAAAACTAGATTTAAAAAAATCACTGACTACTGAAAGAATGCCTCCTGTTATGTCCTATCTGAGTATGAGAAACTATTATATTACTTTGAACTGAGCAACAAGGGCCCATTTTAAAAAGCTGTTCACATTCCAAAGCCATTTTATCCTGGTTCTTTCACTGACCTACTCGGGCCCTCCTGTTTCATACTCTCAAAATAGCTCTGTTGAGAAGAGAAACAGAGAAATTCTAAAGTAGGGCTAAATAAACAAAGGGATAAACTGAACTCTCACCACAGAGCACTTGTAAGAGTTTTCCTGTTTTTGGCTAAGCCTAGGTCCAGAGAAACCTCTGGCCCTAACCTCTGGTATTAGTGGATTCAGTGTGCATTTGCACTGAGTTAGTTGGAGGCCCTTGAAGGACATTCACAACCTTTACTTTCGTGCATCACCATGCAGGAATCTCAAATAGCCTTGCATTAGCATGATTGTTATTTTTTCAGTTGGTCTCTCAGGAACCATTATTAAATAGGTACCCATATGTATACTGAAAAATCTCCCAAGTAATCTAGCATTTCATTGCAAAGCCGTCAAACACCTTGCACGTAACTTCTTTTATAAACTATCATAATAAGAACCACCCCAGCACCTAAAAAAATATTCTGCAGTTTTTAGTAAAATATGCCAAATATAGCTTGAAATAGTAAATAATCCCCCATAAGTGATATTAGCAAATTAATTGGTATGTGGACAAAGAACTCTTTCTGCAACCGGTATGAATGTTGCCTTTATTTTTTTTCTCACAAGTATGATTTTAGAAAGCAGCTGCAGCGCATGTTGACAAATGACAAAGCGGCAGACGTGATAAACTACTTTCCGCCAAGGCCAAGAGGGTAAAAAAAATTTCCGGCTTGACTCCCTAGCTTCCCTAACCTCTTTTTTCCTAGTCTTTAGGGAGCGGGGGCCTCATCGCCCCCCCCCCCCCCCCCCCCCCGCTTGCCATGGCTCTGGTTACAGCCTTCCGAGTTGAACAAACTTGCTGCAGGAGGACTGGTGATCGGGAGCTCGCCGGTTGGGCGTTGTATTTATTAATTTATATTCCACGGCGTCCCGCGCGGGCCGCTCTTTGTATCCGGCAGCAGCTGCCCGGGCTCCAGGGCCTCGGCGGGGAGCGCGTCCCCGCAGCCGCCCGACCCCCGCGGCCGGCACGTGCTGCGCCCGCCCGCCGGGCCGGCGGAGGGGGGCGGCGGCCCCGCTCTCCTCCTCACCCGTCTCGGCCGGAAGGAGGAGCAGCCGCAGGAGGCGACAGCTGCCCGGCCGCGGGAGCCCGGCGGAGAGGGGGCTGCAGCGCCCAGGCGCCTGGCGACTCCCGGCAGCGGCGACCCGGGAGGCGGGGAGCGGCGGCCGCCGGGATGTCCCCGGGCACTTCCTGACTGGCTGGCAGGCGCGCGCGGCCCGACTCGCACGGCCCGGCCCCCCTTGGTGGCTGGGGGGCCCGCTCTGCGTCGGCCGCGGCGCGGTGGAGGCGCGCGAAGGGGCCGCAGCCGGGGATGAGCTGACTGCGGCTAAGTACGCCGCCCACGGGCCGCGAGAGGCCGCGAGGAGCCGCTTTTCTCCCAGTCGTCGCCCGGCCCTTGGATTCGAGATCATGTACGTACGCGTCGCGGTCCTGCCATTGTCTGCCCAACGCGCGTCGTGCGCCCCGGGGCGAGGGGCTCCTGCCCGTCCTCGCCGCGCGCCGACCTCCCCACTTCCTGTTCCGAGCGGAGGGACCCTGGCGCTCACCGCGGGCCACCTGACCCCTCGCCCCCTCCTCGTCCGTAGGTCCATTCACATCGTGGCGCTGGGGAACGAGGGGGATGCGTTTCACCAGGACAATCGGCCGTCGGGGCTCATCCGCACTTACCTGGGGAGAAGCCCGCTGGTCTCAGGGGACGAAAGCAGCTTGTTGCTGAACGCGGCCAGCACGGTCGCGCGCCCGGTGTTCACCGAGTATCAGGCCAGCGCGTTTGGGAATGTCAAGCTGGTGGTTCACGACTGTCCCGTCTGGGTAAGGGGCGGAGGCCGCTCTGTGCCGGCGCTGACGGAGCTTTCCTTTTTTTATCCCCCCACCCAGCCCCCCTCCTTTCATTTTCTCCCCCTTCTTGAGTATGGATCGACAGGGTCACTTGGGTAGCGTTTTTAAACATTTTTGGGAAAATCTTTGGTCCTTTGTTTTCTCTGGCAGCGCAGTCAGAGAAAACTCTGAGAGGGAAAAAAGCCCCAGTGGGAATGTGGATCGGTTACTCGTACACTTCACGACTGTGGGTTGTTGGTACAAATGACAGTTCAGTGTGACAACCCAAGGGGACAGGGTCACTAAGTTTCACCAGCACAGAGCAATGTCTTTTCATGCCTACCCTGTGGGTGATAGTGTAATATTAGTGTTCTAAAAATAAAGTCCTTTGAAAGTGCAACCCATGATATTTCACTGGGGAAGTTCAGAAATAGGACCCTTGAAAGGAGGAGAAAAGACAGCGATTGAGGATTATCTTAAACGACTCATTTACAGCACTATCCACCTTTGAAAAATTTTAATTAGTGCTTTGAATTTTAATAATGCAGATACTCTTAATATATTAGCTATTTGTTTTTAGTGAGTCCTAAATCAGAAATAATATTACTGTTACAGCTTGGAATTTGTAAAAGACTTTAAAATTAGTGATCATTAAGAGAAATTGTAATACAGTTGATAAATTCTACTCTAATTTTTGAGTGTTTGATAAAAGGAGAAAGGAATCTATTCCCTGACACATAAATGATAGTAGATTTTAACTGTTTTCATTTATTCTTATTTGAATATTTTTGATTCGTAACTGTTATTGAAGTAATATTGCAGCTAATGATTGCATTTTATAACAAGAAAATTTAGTGTCTGAAAAAGAAAATACACATCGTCATTATGTGAGATTTTTACACTTAAATAGCTTTAAAAGACTGAATTAGGGGAGATAGGAAAGAAATGAAAGAAAAATAAAGAATTTCTTTATAATAAATACACTTATATATAAAGAAATGTATAGAATGTACATAGAAAAATTTCTTTAGTAAATTTCTATTTTACACAAAAGATCACTAGCCTAAATATGTTATTAGGCCGAAATAAATGCAGAACAGGCTTTTTCAATAACAGGGATGCTATTGAACCCCTAGATATGGCAGTGATGATGCTGGCATAAGAAGCATTGAGAGAGAGCTTGTGGGCTGGAATCCATGAAAGCAACTGAAACACTTCTTTGACTTTTGTCATTCATTGTGAAAGATCTTACAGTCTAAAAACTTATTGATTCTACATGCAGTTGAGTGAATAGAATAAATAAATCTGTGGAAAATAAAATAAGCTGAACTGGGATGTAAGGGTTAGCTTTTGTGTTTTCTCTTTGAACTGTTAAGTCTTTCCTGTTTATGTTGTTAATTTAGCAAAAAAACAATACTTGTGATCCTCCTGTGTTGGAGTCAGTGAAGTCTTCCAAATGGGTTAACATAAGTCTCTGTGATCTTAATCTTAGCCATATACTGATTGTTATGTTTTATTATGCTAATCACCTTTTGTTTTGTAGACTGGCCCTCTTTAAGGTACAATTAATTCTAGGTATAGTGGTCTTCAGGCATAGTAGAGTATATTTTGTAGACCTACTCTTTTATAAGGTGCTTTTCTTCTCTTGGTAGTAAGTAAAAGCCCATCAGAGATATTACAGTTGATTGTATTCAGTAGCTAATATTTGTACTGGATAAGAATAGTAAATACAGCAGAGCAGATAGAACACAGGTTTTGATATCAAAAGGACCTGATTTCAGATCCCTACATTGCCACTTAGTGGCTGTGTTCTTTGGTAAGTCACTTACTCTCTCTTAGGTTTATTTTCCCTCTATATGAAAGAAATGTAATAAATCCTGCCTCCTAGAGCTGTACTGAAGAGCAAATTAGAGAATGTGTAAAGTTCTTAGCATAGAGGCTGGCAAGTGGTCTGTACTCAGTAAGTGGTAGCTACTATAAGAAAGTGCTCATTACAACTTTAGTATAACCATGTATCACTTATATTAAGCAAAAGTCAAGTTTTCCCACATATCAGTCAAGAGTTACATAAATACAGTACATTCTGGCAGCAACATTAGTATTTAGTTTGTGCTGTATTTGCAGCCCCAGAATTAAGTAGGATAAAAGTGTTGTTTTGCTACAAAAATTCAGATTATTTTTAAAAAGATGTGTTCCATTCTCCAAATGTGGCTCTATGCCTTGTGTTGTATAACCTCCTAGAGGAAATCTTGGAACTGATTTACAGGGGGTGGGAGAATTTGATTTCCTTCATATTTCTAGAAATCAGTGGAGCATTTTTTCTTTGACGTAGTTTGAGAAGAAATGGTGTTGTTTGGTGGTGGTGTATCCTTGGAGTTTGAATGAGATAGTTGTGCTACTCTTTGCTAATTTCTTCTGTAGTTCTGTTGCCTTATTCTGGATCCTTGCCATATATACTTGTCACTTTTAAAATTAATGTGCTTCAAATTCACTTTATGTAGCTCATTATTGAATATGTCTTTCTCAAAACCACTCCTTTTTTTACAGTTACACTGTTATTTCATTTCTAGATCTTTTCCTGTTTACCAAAAATATTCCATATAAAGCAGTGAGGTTATATGTGCACAATTTTCCTGTGCAGTGTTTGAAGCTCTGACCAGTATTAAAATAAAATTATTCATGGTCTTTATATCCTCAATATAGCAGTGTTAATGATGCTAAAAGCCATTTGCTCATGGTATTTTCCCTTAAATGTCTTCTTATTCCCCTGTATACCTCTCCAGTTACTCTGGATCTTTAAAGTATTTGGAATGCAAAGAGCAGTTACTTTTGATTTGGTCCCTCTTATGTTTAGTATTTTTATCCCATTCATCTAACTTTGTCCTCTTTCTTTGTTTACTCATCTACTCTGCTGTACTTGTATTCTTTGAACTTGAGTACTATATCAGGTAGAATTGAAACAGAATGGATTTTTTGGTTTGGGATTTGGAAATAGGCATAGAACTCTGCTGGGAAGCTTTCACATATGCTTCATCTGTGTCCCACTTTACTTCTCCTCCCTCTTTTACCCTCCCCTAAGTTCAATACTTTGTCTTTGGTGTGTTTATATTCCCATGGGTTGCCTTTTTCTGTTGTTGTTCTTTTAATCCTCTTTTAAGAAAATGCTCTATGCATCCTACTTTCAATAGGGTATTCATATCTAAAAATTCTGCAGTTTTTAGATATGAGCATATTTATAGGAAATAGGTGGGTTGGGGGCATGAATAGGGAATTAGGAGAGATTTTTGTGGGGGCAGGGGAGGTGCTGGTGAGAGGTAGCTCTCTGCAAAAGGGTATTACTTTGTAATACTTCTCCAGACTTTTCCAGTATAGGATAAAAGCTCTGTCACATAGATCTTGATTGACTGATTCAAACACTGTTAACCCTGTTTTGGACTCATATTTCAAAGTGCAAACTTTCATAACCCAACAGTGTTTAGACCTGTTAGCCACATCTAACCATCTATTTTCTTAAACTAGCCTCATTACATCCTAGAAATACATACCAAAGGCCACACAAAAAGGCAAATAATGATTAATAGTTAACTAGAATACCAGAAGAAAGCTATTTATGCATATTTAGCTATGGTATTAAGTTACATAAAGATATTTTCCTTATTCCATTACTCACACAAAAACTTAGAAAAAATGTTTTTAATGTCAAAGCACTAAGTTTTAAGATGTAGGGCCCATAATAAATTACTTGTGCCCCCAATTATTAATATAAATATTATTAACTATAGTCCAGAAGTAAAGATTTCAAAACTGGAAATCCTGGATTTTCAATTTATATGAGGAAAATACACAACTGGAAAATCTGTTTCTTAGCATGTTAACAACTTATAGTGCACAGTACCTTTTTATGAAACAAAAAGTTGTTTGTTTTGCCCATACAGGCATATACAATACACATATACAGTACCGTCCAAAGGATGGATAAAGTTGGAAAGTGCATATGAACTTTGCAAATATGGATGAAATATATGGAAGTCCACAGAATTCACAGTGTATTACAATTCAAAACACTGACCAATCCTGCATGTCTAACTGGGTCACAGAATACTCATACTGATGCCTTTGCATCTAATGGCAAAGTGTTACATTTTCAAATTATTAGGTGATAAAAATATGACATAATTTTAAAGCACTGCTTATTTTTTAGGTACAAATATTGAAAGAGGTTGCTTATTCATTAGATCTCAGGAATTCTCTAGATTTCTATTTTACCAGTACATTGTTGTCTAGGCTAAATGAATGTAAGAAAATAAGGGTAGACTTCAAACATTTTCAATTTTATGTAGTTATTCAAAAATAATTTTTTTAAATGAATCCTCAAAATTAAAATACATGAAAACATTTAAACTAATATGTTACAGTTCATTTCATGATTGATTTCAAGACAAGTAGACTAAAGATTGCTCTTTGCCTTTTGCTTTAGGACATTTTTGACAGTGATTGGTATACCTCTCGAAATCTGATTGGGGGCGCTGACATCATTGTGATCAAATACAATGTAAATGACAAGTTTTCATTCCATGAAGTAAAGGATAATTATATTCCAGTGATAAAAAGAGCATTAAATTCAGTTCCAGTTATCATTGCTGCTGTTGGTACCAGACAAAATGGTAAGTATTCAATTTTTGTGCAGGTACCTATTAATTACAAATGGTACTAAGCTTATTAATGATTGATACGGTTTTTTGTGTGTGTCAAAAATAAACAACTTGGGTTCAAATGCCAGCTGTTATCTTTATACTGTTGGATATGATAATGAGACTCAAAGGGAAGTATCACAAACTACTGAAGTGATTCTGATGCGTACAAATTTGTCTTCTAAACTGCTCTTCTATAGTAGTGAAGGGAATAAGTAATTGTGTTCCTTTGATAGAGGAGAAGTAATAGGCTGACACTGAGCCCTGGAAAACTCGTTGACAATCTGAAGGTGTATTCAGTTGGAAAGGATAAATTGTCCACATAAGGGAACAGGACTTTTAGGTAGATAGCAGTGAGTGAGCTGAAAACACTGACAGTGCCGCCTAAGAGAGAGGATTTACTCCATGGCTGATGGATTCATTTGGTTTCAGTAGTTGCTGCTATGCATATTGCCAAATATCTCAGGGCTAACTCAAAGTTCACCTTGATTTGGTGGTATTTTAATAGTTCTTAGTGTATTTCCTCAGTAAAGCTGTCTTTGAAATATTATTTTCATTCATTTTTTTGCTTACTTCTGAAGCATAGCAAAGTAAAGGACATAAAGATCACTGATCTTAATTGAATGTATTTTTACATGTGAATACATCCATGCAACCATCACACAGATCAATGTATAGAACCTTTGCCTTATTCCAGAAGGCTGTCTAATGCCTCTTCCCAATTAATAGCATCCCTTGCCAGAGATAACTGCTCTTTTGACTTTTAGGTTAATTTTATCAATTCTTGAACTATTCTTGAACTTCCTACTAATGGAGTTATATGGCATGTAGTATCTTGTGTCTGACTAATTTTAGTTAGCATAATACTCTTGAAATGCATCCATGTTGTGCTTAGCTGTAATTTGTTCCTTTTATTGTTTTATAGCATTCCTTTGTATGAATATGCTGTGATTTATTTATCCATTTTCCTTTTGGTGATGCTTAGGCTGTTTCCTAAGTGTAGGATTGTTGGGTCAAAGTCATAGGGTAACTGTATGTTTAGCATCATTAAATAAAAATAAATCAGGCTTAACCCTTCCTTAACCCCACATCCCCTCTACTTCCCTACCTTTCTTTTTATTGCTAGCTAGATTCTTGAGTTATCTACATTTCCTGACTTCTCATTCATTCTTCAGCCAACTGCAGTCTGACTTTGACTATCATAGTTACATTGGGTTAGTTCTCAGGGTTGACAGTTAAATGCTTATTGCCAAATTTAATTTACACCTAAGTTACATTTTAGTTAAAATTACATTTTAATAACACTTCTCCCTTTGGAATTATTCAAACATACCTCTTCTTCCACTTAATAAAGCTACTTTTCTTTTTTGGCTGTTCTCTGTCTTCTTTACTGGTTCCCTCAACTCTTAACACAGGTAACACCAAACCAACATATCCCATAGTTGTCACCCAGGGTTCCATCCTTTTGGCTATACCCCTTCTTGCTGTTAACTGACCTTGAACCCACTAATCTGTTGCTTTAGCCTCCCTTGTATAGGCACAGAAGGTTACCAGGCTGTTTCTCTGGTTCCAGTCTCTCTCCTGACTGACCCATCTCCACAGAAATCTTCCTCTTTCTACTGAATTGCCTGTCTTGGTCCGTGATGCCGAACCTATCTATTCACCCAAACTGGAATCATCCAACCCAGCTTTCTCTTGCATTCCCCATACCCAGTTGACTAAGCAGCTTTTTTGATTTTACACTTTAAATAAACCTCAAACTCATTGCTTCCTCTTTACCTTCACTGGATTTCTGATCCTACCCATTTAATTATCTATCACTGTGGCCTTCCTTTTGGTTCCAGATTTTGTAGGACCTGAAACTTAATACAGTTTAGAGGTCCTTTGTCAGGAAGAAACCACAAAATGATGGATATATGTATGTATAAAAGTGAATATTTAGAATGAGAAGAGAAAGCACAAAAAAATACAAATCTAAAAAGATCTAAAAATATTTTTAAAATGTTTCTATTATTTAACAGCTTGAACTTCTTTATCTTCTCATGTTTTTTGGGCTGCATAGACTTTGATCACTTCATATGATAACCACTTTCTAATATTTTCTGTATAGAGGAGAGAATGATAATGAATTTTTCTTCCAGCATATTTCTTCACCCTCCACATCTTTTTGGTGCTAGGCACTATAGTTTGTGTTGTATTCGTCTTCCAGCTCAGCACCTTTGTGTCAGGACACCAAGTAAGTCTGCACAGTGGGTGACAGAAACATTCCTGAAGGCTATTCATGTACCAGGGTGACTTTCAAACACTTAACAAGGATGTGACTGCAAACCACAGATAATGTCTCACTAAACCTAAATTTAAAGTCCTCTTATCAGGGTCCCCAAAATAACCATGGTTACTGCAAGCTGCCTGATGCAATGTGAAATGAGTTGGAGTGGAAAGTGACAGTGTTCTTAACCAAACGTAGTTAGAGTATTTTATTTTGCAAATTTGCCAAAAGCATGTGACTGTGTGAAATAATTTATTGCTCAGCTTTCTCCCCGGGCTTTGGAGCGGACCTGCTTTGAACTTGGGTTTCATCAGCTTCACGGTAGATTGGCCTCTTATCTTTTATTCCTGGTTTGCCTCTTTCTGAAATAAATCCTCTCAAAATAATCATTCTAGAATATAAGTCAGATCATCATACTAAATGCTTCAAATTCTTTGAAAACTTTCTTATCCACTAACTTCTGTTTGAATGATTTCAAACCTAAGAAAATTGACAAGAACTAGGATAGTGAACCCCAGAAATTACAACACATACTCACACACTTTTTTTTGCCTGAACCATGTGAGAGTAATTTGTAAATGTTATGGGATTTCTTCAATTCTAATTACTTAATATGTATCATCTAAGAACAGAGCTGTTGTCCTTCCTGTTAACCATAATGCAATCATCACTCACGCTCAAGAAATGTAGCATACTATTATCTATTATACTACTATTTTAGATACAGTCCATATTCACATTTTCCCAGTTCTAAAGCTGTTTTCTTTTTTTTAAGCCAGCATGAAATTAAGGACTACACATTGCATTTACTTGTTATGTCTCCCTAGCCTCTTAATCCAGAATGGTTCCCCAGGCGTTTTTTTGTGTGCATGTGAGAGGGTGGTGTCCTTCAGGACACTGACATTTTTAAAGACTCCAAGACCATTTGCATCATTCCTTCAGTTTTGATAACTGTGGCTGTGAAATAGGGATTTTCTATCATTCCTTCTATACCTGTTAAGTGGTGTTCCTCTGTAAATAGAGCTTTCCCTTCTCTCTGCGCCCACATCTTTCTTTTAGATTCATGATGATTCATGGATTTGTTTTTTTAAATTCAATATTTTATCATATATTCTTCTCATTATTCTTTTGATGCTCATATTACCCCAAATTTGCCTAGAGAGAGCCTCTTCAAGCTAGCTCCAATTAATTTTTGAGTTCTTCCTTATTTTCTGGCACATGATGTTCCAGGTTCACCTTAGACTTTGCCTGCCCCAGCCCGAAATCAGTCATTTCTTAGGGATCCCTGGTTCCTTTTAGTGAGTAATGATACTTAGAAACCAAGGTCTGGGTTCTAGGAGTGCTCCTTACTTAGGTGTCATTGCTTCTAGGCCCTTTCATTGCAATCATCATTTCATATATATATAATATATATATATATATTATATATATATATGAATCATGGGTTCCCATTGATACTCTCATTAAAATCCAGTATTTGTATCTCACTTCAACAGTCTTACGTAAAATAGAAGATCTGCATGATATTGCCTCTGAACCTTGTAGGACACAATCCTCTGTGTTTTAGGTACCTGTCAACTAACTACTTGAAAAACTTAATGTCTTTCTTTAGTTCTGCTGGGTCCATTCTGCTCTTCTGCTTTATTAATTTTTTTTCATTTTTAAAAATTTTGATTTCATTAATATACAATCACATGAGCAGCAGTGTGGTTACTAGATTCCCCCATTATCAAGTCCCCACCACACAACCCATTACAGTCACTGTCCATTAGCATAGTAAGATGCTATAGAGTCATTACTTGTCTTCTCTGTGCTATACTGCCTTCCCCATGCATCCCACAACCATGTTATGTGTGCTAATCGTAATGCCCCTTATTACCCTTCTCCCTCCCTTCCTACCCACCCTGCCTAGTCCCTTTCCCTTTGGAAACTGTTAGTCCATTCTTGGGATCTGTGAGTTTGCTGCTGTTTTGTTCCTTCAGATTTTGCTTTGTTCGTATGCTCCACAGATGAGTGAAATCATTTGGTACTTGTCTTTCTCCCCTGGCTTATTTCACTGAGCATAATACCCTCTAGCTCCATCCATGTTGTTGTGAATGGTAGGATTTGTTTTCTTCTTATGGCTGAATAATATTCCATTGTGTATATGTACCACATCTTCTTTATCCATTCATCTACTGATGGACACTTAGGTTGCTTCCATTTCTTGGCTATTGTAAATAGTGCTGTGATAAACATAGAGATGCATGTGTCTTTTTGAAACTGGGATCCTGTATTCTTAAGGTAAATTCCTAGGAGTGGAATTCCTGGGTCATTGATATTTCTATTTTGAGCTTTTTGAGGAACCTCCATACTGCTTTCTACAATAGTTGAACTAATTTACATTCCCACCAGCAATGTAAGAGGGTTTCCCTTTCTCTGCATCCTGGCCAGCATTTGTTGTTCCTAGTCTTTTCTATGTTGGCCATCCTAACTGGTGTGAGGTGATATCACATTGTGTTTTTTATTTGCATTTCCCTGATAATAAGCAATGTGGAGCATCTTTTCATGTGCCTCTTGGCCATCTGAATTTCTTTGGAGAAGTGTCTGTTCATATCCTCTGTTCATATAGGGTTATTTACTTTTTGGGTGTTGAGGTGTGTGAGTTCTTCACATATTTTGGATGTTAACCCCTTGTTGGATATTTCATTTACAAATATATTCT